CAGTTCACTTCATCCCTATGGTCCGCCATCTGCTCCCTACTCAAGATCAAGCACAAGACCACCACAGCTTTCCACCCTCAGTCCAACGGCATGGTCAAATCAATCAATCCATTTCAAATTCATCAACATTATTTACCATTTCGTTGCTAATCACCTTTCAAAACAAGTGGAAAATTTACCAATGCCCACCGGATTCACAACTCCCTGCCGGGAAACAACTATGAAACAACAAATTCAACAATGGAAATATTTATTCAACACCCAATTTCATTTATTTATTTCCCTCAAAAGAAAATCCCGTTTAACTGACACAATGCAACACTTTTAATTTGCCAATCAATCAATCATTAAAATAACAACTTGTTTATGTTAATTTAATATTCAATTCTCTGGACTACCCTTTAACCTACAATTCATTATTCATGATTTCGCATTTCTGTATCAATTCTGATAGTTTGTCAATAATAATAATATCCCTACATGTAGTGTAACAATGTGTCCCTTGTAATGTACCAATCAATCAATCAAACCCACAATGTAAACATTTAAGGGCTATGGTTCTCATTTCTTCTCGTCTATAAGCTTTTATATCCTCGAACCCCTCCTGGGGCCACTGTGAACCATATCCCTCAAATTTCCCCTGTTGTAAAGGTCGTCTCCGACAAACTGTACCTCCGTTGAATATACTCCGTCCACTCACCAAACCAAACCTTGCCAAGGATTTTGCATAAACGTAAACAATAACCTCATGGAGCTAATAAAACTTTAAGTGCATTAAAAGAACCCATTTATACATAATTTCAGTGAATCATTTGCAATCAAATAGTGAACTTATTTAACCAGACGAATATTTATTTTCAGAAGAATTAAATTGCTTTAGACTCCAGTTCAAACAACTTTTCGACCTAACACAGTTTTCTAGATTGTAAGTTCCATTCACAACAGTACCTTTTAAACCTTTTATTAATCAGTTCACAACAGTGCCTTTAAACCCATTTATCGATTTACAACAGCAAAAAATATGATCCCCAAATCCTGCTAAACCTACAAAACCTAGAATTCCAATACTCATTTATTGATAAAACCCTTCAACTGTTTAATCTTTATTAACAATTATTATTTATATAAATGAGTATTGGAATTCTAGGTTTTGTAGGTTTAGCAGGATTGGAGATTTTAGGTTTAGTGGGTTTAGCAGGATTTGGGGATCATATTTTTTCCTGTTGTAAATCGATAAATAAAGGGTTTAAAGGCACTGTTGTGAACTGATTAATAAAAGGTTTAAAAGGTACTGTTGTGAATGGAACTTACAATCTAGAAAACTGTGTTAGGTCGAAAAGTTGTTTGAACTGAAGTCTAAAGCAATTTAATTTTTCTGAAAATAAATATTTTTTATAAAACTCAGGATAAATCATTTTAAATCATTATAAACAACATGAAGTGGATCAAAATTCGAATATATTAATTCAAAGTACTTTTCAAAGAATGTTAACAACGATGGACGAAAAACGGTATGGTTGGACGAAATAATGGTGAGTTGTGACGTTATTTGTGGTGCCGACGAAAAAGTGGTGTGGTATGCCTTCTCTCGCTCTATGCACACAATTTTTGTTCAATCATTGTAATTTTTATAATTGAATTTATTCATAACCAGGAATTAATTCTGTTATTTGCTGAGGAAAAAATGTTTTAAAAGTAAGTGTTTTTTCACCTATTTGCTTCAACAAGCTGTGAAAGTTGTTCAATATTTTCTCTCTCTTGCAAATGAATTTTTTCGCGGATTTTCTGAAATGAAAAAATATAGTTAAAAAGACTCATTACTTAGAAATCTTTCAATTGCTATTTGATATTCGAAAAATATATTTTTTCAGATAAATCCCGAGTTAAAAACAGCTTGTTATGAATTTTGTTGATCAATTTATATATATTTAATAATTGAATTTATTAAGAATGAAAGAATTGTACAGCTGGATTTTATAAATTTGTAATTTGGAATTTCATTTTATCAGGGAAATATCATTTGCGACCCAAAGATAATTTTCGCAAAAATTAGGTCGAAGAACATCATAGTTTGCACAACTTTGTGTTTAAATTGTTTCACAAAAATTTTGCGAATTTTAAGCTTAAAAAACTGTATGGAAATAAACCAACCTTCCCAAGGATATGCTGGAAATGCCAGAGAAAGCCCAGAGTATGAAGAAGTTTTGAGTTTTCACCTTCAACCTACATAATACACAATTACTTCTTTAAATGATTGTAGTCGTCATTCTTAACAAGTGACATCAATAATTCACAATAGTTTTTATTATCTCATATTAATTGAATATCTAAATCCTCCATGGGACCTCTAATCGCACATATGCATGACTGTTTTTCAGCACCCCCCCCCCCATGGACCCTCTAAATGCATACCTGTTTACCAGCTGTGATGAATCTGATATCATTTCTCTGCTGCAGCTTGTATAGTACTGCTAAAAGTACTGGCAGGGGTCTAAATATATTTATAAACGTAGAATTTGCTGTGTACAATGTACAGTAAATGCATGTACAATACATACGAATACAATACTAACTGGTCGTGAATATTTGTTTAGGCAAAAATGATTTAACCCTGTTTATCTGTTGATTGCAATTGTGTTTCTCTAGAAGTTTTTCGTAAATATATATATTTTAAAGACGAGTGAACGACAATATCTTCATCATTGTTAATTCTTGGAACGGACTAGAATGTAAACTTAATTTTAAGTAGCTCTCTATTATTTAAGTGGCATTTCCGATTCAAACCATACCGAGTACGAATTATATATCCATGTTAACTGGTTAATGTCATTTGTGGTTTATTTGCAAAAGTGACTTTAAAGCAAGGGTAAAATTATCAGAATAAACACTTGACAAACTAGAATAAAAACGTAATTTTCCACATTATTGTGCTGTCTGAAATTTTGTGCAGTAAACTGGCTAAAAATCACTTCTAAAATCTTAATTTACATTAACCTATAATAATAATAATAATAATAACCTATATTTAAGTTAAATACTAATTCTAAGTCTTTGTTTGTAAACAAGTTTCTGGTGTATACTGTGCACTCCGTACAGACCAATTCATATACAGGGTGTCCCACGAAACATGACATTTAATAAATAGCTATTTTTAGTTAAACAAATCTTTTGCTTAATTATATTTTACGACTCCCATATAATATTTTTATTGATCTTTGGTATCACACAACTTAACAAATTATGGAAAAAGACATTTTAAACTATTCACCAACTGTCATGTTTCGTGGGACACCTTGTATACAAATTTCCAAGACGACTTTCAAAACCTTCAGCATCAACTAATAAGTTCAGTGAAATACAAATGACTTACATTTTCGTCTGAAAAAAAGATTTATCTAGGTTATTCTAGACAAACATTTAAAGGATTTATGGGATATATCATATCATCATCAATCTTTAAAAAAAGGGATAAGGAGCATGCAAAAAAAACTATTAATAACCAGCCATGCATCAACTTCTAAACAATTAACTAACTTGNCTTTATAGGAGTACAGATTTTTTAACATCATCGACCTAAAAAGTGCGTCATACAAGGCTTTATAGGAATACAGATTTTTTAACATCATCGACCTAAAAAGTGCGTCATACAAGGCTTTTAGGGCGTTTCGCACCCCATTACCTGTAAACGATTTTAGCTTTTAACTGTTGCTCTGGAACTCGCCATTTTTAATCGTTTTCAAATTTTCTCGGATTTTTGTGTTAAAATTGACGCATTTTTAAATAAATAAAAGTCGTCATTTTTTTCGAGCAACATTGTACTTTTTTGACGGTACGTAAACCTTCCCTGGGATCAAGTGAGTTGGCTTCGCAAAATTTGGGCCATGATCGGTTCAGCCGTTTTGACATTTATTGGACACAGACAGACAAACAAACAAAAAGTGAAGAAAAAAAAACTGTATTATGTGCCTGTTTACATAACTTCAATATAGTAACAACGGTACCCTTTAAACCTTCGTCGGAGCAAAAAAAATATCATTCTCAATCGTCGTAGTTTTTATTAAAAAGTGACTTTCAGGTTTAGAAAAAAAGAGAAAGAAGAAAGCTGAGAGAATTCAATACGTTTATTAGATAAAAAATGTGTAAAGGGTTCCATTGTATATCGGGTTTGCAACCCCTTAACTGTGATATCACTGAAAGGAAGGAAAAACTAAAGAATTATACTGAATTAATGTTAACTAAATATCACAGCTGGTCGGAGTACTTTAAGCAACTGAACCTAACTGCCTGAAAGAGGCTTGGCTCTGTCTAAACCTACGGTTTCAAGAACAGGTTTATAACACATAACGCAATCCACCTCAAACTAGGATGAATTGTAAGAGATATTGAGGAAAGGAAAAATGTTTTGAATTTCTAATATGTACCTGGATAAATTAATATTTCTTATACATGTGTGTAAAATCAAAACTAGAGGAGCAAAATCGGATCAGTACGCTTTTGAGTAATTTCCTGGAAAACAATTTTCAGAACCCTCCCCCTCGCCCCCCTCCTTTCAATTTTGTTCATTGATCTCATATCCTGTCACATGGATATTATTGGTCATGGGGCCAAAGCACCCGGCCACCTAGCCTGTTCTAGCCACGGCGCTCGGCCCAATGGAATTGAAAGACCTCAAATTATGATTTCATGTATAGTTCAATAAAGATGGAACTCAGCGATTGTGCAGTTTAAGCAGATCCATTTCACTTTAACGTTTATTTTCAAATTAATTAAAAAAGAAAATAAGAAATAAATTAAGAAATTAATAAAGAAATTTATAAAATAAATAAAGGAACCAAGAAATTAATTAAGAAATTAAGAAATTAACATAGAAATTATGAAAAATAATGAAAAAGAACCTAGAATAATGTTGAGGTCTGTCCTAGAGAACGACCTTTTGGACCCACCCTCCTATCAATTTTGTACATGACCACTTCATTTCATCAAAATTATTTGTATTTATTTTTTTATATTAGGGGTAGGTCAGGTCAATTTCCGGCCAAGCACTGCGGCTAGGACAGGCTAGGGGACCGAAAGCTGCGGCTAGGACAGGCAAGGGGGCCGAGCGCCGCGGCTAGGACAGGCTAGGGGAGCAGGCGCTGCGGTCACATGACCAATTATACCATGTGTTACATATGAGATCAATGATATGGGGGGGGGGAGGTCCAAANCTAGATATTTATTGTTAACTAATTCTAATTTATAACTTTTTGTTCTGTTTGGTTCTGCTAACGCTAAAAACATTCCATTAAAAGATAATGGAAGTTTGCCATTCATATATTTAAACATAAAAACAGCAGAATTAAATTTGATCATGTCTTTTATTTTTTGAATTTCAAGTTTCAGAAAAAGTGGATCTTCCAAAATAATCCTACCCTTCCCTACCAATCCTACCCCCCTGCATAACAATTCTACCCCGTCCCTACCGACTCTACCGCCGACATAACAATCCTACACCCCTCCCTACAAATCTTACACCCTGAAAAATCAAGGGCGCCAATATTAAGAGCAGGAACATTCTGGCCCTTAACATTTTTATTTTCAAGAATTGATAAAAAACTTCCCTGCGGCCCCAATTTAATCAAAATTCATTATAATCCTAAATTTGGTAACACATTTTCCCCCTCCTATATCCCACTCCAGTTTGGCATCAAGAAGATGTAACATTCAGATGAAAATACGATTTTCCTCGTATCTAATCGTAATATATTTTTGAATAGGATTTAAATCTTAATATAAACAATTCTGAGAAAATCAGATGTCCGCTGAATTATTGGCAACTAATAAAAAGTTTTCATTGTGAAAAATATTCTATCAAAAATTGTCAAGAAATTTTTTTTATCTTTTAAAAACTATTCTACGGCGAATTGGTTTATCATACCACTTTATTTCTAGGGCAGTCGTAAAATATTTTCCACCAAAAACGTGATATTTTATACCAGAAAATGTTATCTTAATATGAAGAAAGAATGCATATTAGGAAACATCCTATGACATTTTTTAAGACTGAATACACAAAACTAGGCATTCCCAAAACATGACTAAGACCTCGCAAGAGTTTTGAAGGTAAACTGAGCTCCGATCCAATAGTGGTGCTCAAGGTGGTTTTAGGTTCCTTTATCTATTTTCATTTTAGAGAAAAGAAATCTCCAAGTTGTGTCCAATTTGTGAAGAACCAAACAAACAAATAACCCGTCATATCAAGGTAACATTTTGACACAACCATCATGTTTTTTTCTTTCATGCAAGCATGAAGGAATTTCAACTTGATGTATTTAAATAAGAAATAAATTAAGAAATTAATAAAGAAATTTATAAAATAAATAAAGGAACCAAGAAATTAATTAAGAAATTAAGAAATTAACATAGAAATTATGAAAAATAATGAAAAAGAACCTAGAATAATGTTGAGGTCTGTCCTAGAGAACGACCTTTTGGACCCACCCTCCTATCAATTTTGTACATGACCACTTCATTTCATCAAAATTATTTGTATTTATTTTTTTATATTAGGGGTAGGTCAGGTCAATTTCCGGCCAAGCACTGCGGCTAGGACAGGCTAGGGGACCGAAAGCTGCGGCTAGGACAGGCAAGGGGGCCGAGCACTGCGGCTAGGATGGGCTAGGGGGCCGAGCGCTGCGGCCACGGGTTAGGTTAGGTAAGACACTTTCTGGGCCGAGCGCTGCGGCTAGGACAGGCAAGGGGGCCGAGCGCTGCGGCCACATGTCTTACATTCAAGATCAATGTATAAAATTGATAGGAGGGGGTCCAAAAATCGTATTCTATGACGGACCCTTGGTCACTTTCATTGGAATAAAACGGAAATTCTTAATTGGGTAAATTGCTTATAATTTTGGCAACATATTAAGGAATAAATCAATTATGACAACTACAAATTACAAATTAAAAAACGGGTCTCGTTTTCTTATTATACGGTCTTGAAACGTCAAGTTTATAGAATAAAGAAGACGACTTCGGACTTACATTCTAATTTGTAGTATTGGTTATCAATTATCACTGTAAATTGTATGTTTGCAAACATAAAGAAGTTTGAAACCTTTATACTCTATGTCATAATATATAAAGTTCTGTTCTGTATAATAACGAGTGACTGACTGTTTACACTGTGAGTGTGTGATACTGTGACTGTACAGTGTACACTATTAGTTAAGTCAACGGGCGAACAGCTGACATTATTTGTCTGCATCTGAGTCCGTTCTCTCCATAGGGAGGATGATGTAATATTTCTAGCTCTTATGACTCTTATACAATGATAACCATAAAACTCTAGAAGAGAAAGACGACTCTTAGACTCAAGTTATGACCTAAAATATTCCAATGAACATGAAACAACGCTGTTGTGCAGTGTAAATTATTGCTTTTATGTCGTCTTCCTGTTCCACAGTTTTCTGGTAATTTTCACTGTAACTTTTCTAAAATCTTTTTCTATCTGTAATTTTAATCTTGATCTTTTTCAACCATTCTCTTTATCTATACTGTGTTCTACAACACCCCCCCTTAGCTACAAAAGATCCGGACCA